GTTCTGCACTCCTGTGACCATATTCATCTGACAGCAGGCTAAAGTCCGCCGTTGGCTGATGTCACCGAGTCGGTCCGGACTCTGCAGAGATCCTAACTTTAAAGTGACATTCCAATCAAAGTTGAAATTTTGCCTATGATTACTATGTGAAATATGTCAAGTTTGCCATTATGCATGTTTAGGCTAGCTGATTGTCTAGCTTTGAAAGTCTAATCTGAGCTAGACAATCAGCTGCTTTCTGTTCTTCACTGACAGTCTCTCTTCATCTGAATTTGACAGCTGTTATGCACTTTGTGAAACCTTTGTTCTTCTTTCTTAGAGAAATCCAGCCTAGCTTTCATTATACCTGCCCCTGTCCTGCCCAGTCCCACCCAGCACCCTCCCCATATGTGTGAGTTTTTTAAACCCACCTAAATTTAAGATCATATCGTCCTGCAGATGAGGCCGGCACAGCGGTACCTGTAAAAAGCCATGTCTCCCCCCTATTACCATAGAAATGGTAATATGACACTGGCTAATATGACATCGGCTAGCTACATCACTTCCAGAAATGACATAGCTAGCCAAGAAGGTAGATGCCCAGGACCTACACAGAATAGAATCAGCAGACCGGACAAAGGTCACGTGACAGGTGGGTTTAAAAAAAAAAAAAAAAAAAAAAAAAAAAAAAAAAAGTGTTGGGATCCATCCAGATGTTTGGACCAATAGCTGGCTCAGCCTCTCAGTGAGCCTCTCCTGCCCCCTCCACCAGTGCTGGATTTATAAGGGGCAACTGCCCTGGGCCTCCCATCTATGCAAAAAATATATAAAAACAATATAAACACATAAATAAAATAAAAAATAAATTGTAATAATATAAAATATAATAAAAAATGAATCTCTTAATAAATGTATCTTGGGAAGTAATATTTTGCCTGCAATCATCTGTAACAAAAAAAAAAAAAAAAAAAAAAAAAAAAAAAAAAAAGTGTTTACTCTGGATTGCTATATTGTATCATTTTTAAAACAAATTTGACAGCTCATACAAACCTCACATAGAGCATTTACTTTACACCCTTAGGGAAGGTAACCTATGACTGCATGTGTGTGTGCAGGCATGACCTCAGATAGATGTTTTATCGTGCATTTAGAAAATGTGTGACTATCATTAATAGTAAAAACTAACTCTATGTACAAGCCCCCTCTCCAAACCTGAAGGGCAAACAGCCCCCCCCCCCCCCCAGTTCTAAGTCTAGTCCTACTCTCCACAGCCCAGTGATCCAGTGAGCGATGGAGGGGCAGAGTCAGAGTGACAGCCACCAGCTCTTTGCTCACTGAAGACTGGGAAGTGAGTGATCAGAGGTCTTTAATTTCTCAGTCTTGGCAGGAGACAGATACAGCAAGTGATTATGTATGTGTTTTTTTTTTTATTCCTTAACTTCTCTTAACTTTAGTAATAAACATGTAAAGCTGGGTGAGTCCATGACATTAAGTTTGCAGAGCATCCAGAACTGCCTTTTCACTTGCTGACATTTAACTAAGAACCCACATTGGTTCATATCTGCCACCACAGGAGTAGGGGCCCTACCCTTGACCATCCAGCTGTTTGCAATACAGCTAGACAGTAGGAGATCAAGTTATCCAAAGCATAGTAGTTTATTACTCTGGCTCAGTTTCCCAGTGACTGCAAGTGGTACATATGCAATATTGACATGAGTCACTTAACATTTACCTGTCTTAGGGTAGATTTATGATGTGCTTCTAAACAGGTTTCTCCATCCTCACAAATGAGATGAATGGAGGAATCCCCTCTCAGGGACATTGTATTCTGACAACACCTGCAGTTCTTAGAATACACTGATCAGTGGCTGCAACTGATTGGCTGCAGCTGCTGACTAACAAAAAAATTGCAACACCTCCCTTCAACAATCCACTTCTGTCGAGCAGGGGAGCCCACACACCAATTGAAATTCACGTGGTCCTTGCTGGACCACCCAAATTTACATTAGTGTATGGCCAGCTTTAGTCAAATAATATTCAGTAACCAGCATCTGGAGGCAGTCCTGGTCTCACTTTCCCCTCTCTTCTTCTGCAAATACAAGTCTGTCAGAGGACACTTGTGATGGGGGTGTGCTTGTTACTTAGCTCTGCCAGCTCGGAGTATTGGAGTGAGGGAGGACAGAATAGCAGCATTTTGTATAGAGAGGAAAGGGTTCTTTAAAGAGTAGCCTGGTCTCGCAGCAGCACACCTTCACCTTTTCTTCGCTCCATCACTGCTCTATTCAGTCACTGAAAAAATGTCTTGGGTACAGAGGAACAAGTGACTGTCCCCATGCAACAGCACTCCTTTTTGGTGATTGGCCAAGTCTTGTCACATGAGGGTGGGGAGCAAATGGAAGGCAAGTGTGTGCTGCTGGGTATGGAAGAAATAAAGGTAACCTGCTTTTTCCCCTGAATGGGCATAGTTCTCTTTATGGCCTTTTTAAGAAACTCAATAAGCCATAAAACATGCCATGTAAAGGTACAGTGCTATAAAAAGCTAAAAAGGTTTCAAATGGGCTTTTAGAAAATTCAACAGTCACATGCACAATTCCTCTGCCAACCAAGTTTCAATGCTAATTGGCTCTGAATTTTGTAAACTTTTTGGCATAGAAAGCCAATATTCCTTATGGAATGGTCACAGAACAATGGCCTAACCACAACACTGTGCAAGACTCAGCCTACTATCAATCATAAGGAAAGATCATGACCCAAACACGCACATTTACTTTGGGTGGACATACATGCTTGTGTCTACTGACAGGGGAGAAAGACCAATTAGAAGGGAAACATAAACTGATTGACTCCCTATTCCCCCATGAAAGCTTGGGTGGTCAATACCAGCCCATAATCAGGAACATTACTCCTTTAGTTAAATGTTCTCTAATGTCTGTAGGCACATTTAGAACCCAGGTGCACGTAACAGACCTGCTCTTCATTTTTTTGGTATTTTCACTCAATTCCATATCATTTTATAAATGAAAACATATATGCTAAATTAGCAAGCAGCATAAAGCTGATAGTTGTGTTTTTCCTAGCATCAAGAAAATAACAGGTTTTCTAAAGTGTGGGCAAAATGTTAGATTGTTATTGAATATTTTGCTTCTTGTGTTTGGTGTGTAAAAATCTGTACAAGAGCCTCCCCTACAGGCTATTCTAGGAAAGCTTCAGAATTTACGCAGTTCCTCTGTTTATTCTGTGACGGAGAGAGTTGAAGCAAATGGAGTTTTTAAATACTTTGTTAAACAATCATTTCTAATTTTTAAAAGAAACATTAAAAAAAGGTGGTACTTTTTAGTACCATGACATTGTAAAGATATGTTATAACAGGCAATTATGTGGTATGTTAATTTCTAGAGTTTATAGAAGGCAGCACCAGATGAATAGAGGGAATCCTAGTTTTCTTGTAGACCACCTCTGGAGTTTTAACAACCAGGGTGACCTTCTTTAAATTCAGGCCAGGGCCAATCATATTATCCTGCCTGCAATGAGTTACAGGAAGGTGGTGAGGGTACAGGAGGGTAAAGGTACAGGAGGGTAGGCTGCAGAAAGGTGAGGAGAGTGCTCAACCTCTGACTTCAATGCTTAGATTAATATGATAAATGGCATCCATGCGGAAAACAATCATGTAGCTATGGAAAAGTGATCTTTATGCTATGTATAATTACATTTCATGTATCATCAGTTAGTGGATACTAGTGTCCTTTAAAGTGGTTGTAAAGGGTCAAGGTTTTTTACCTTCATACATTCTATGCATAAAGGTAAAAAACCTTCTGTGTGCAGCAGTGCCCCCTGAATACTTACCTGAGCCTCAACGTGATCCAGCCATGTGAACGACAGCCTCGGCTGTCCCGGGTCTCTGTCTCCTCATTGGTTGAGACAGCAAGCAGGAGCCATTGGCTCCCACTGCTGTCAATCAGAGCCATTCAACCAATGAGGAGAGAAGGGGCAGGGCCAATCCACGGCTCCGTGTACTAATGGATACACGGAGCAGCGGGTGCCCCCATAGCAAGCTGCTTGCTGTGGGGGCACCCGACAGGAGGGAGGGGCAAGGAGAGCCTGCAGGGGACCCGAGAAGAGGAGAATCGAGGCTGCTCTCTGCAAATCCACTGCACACAGCAGGTATGTATAGACAAGTATGTTATTTCCTCCCCCCCCCCCCCCCCAAAAAAAATGAACATTTAGAATTTCTTTAAAGCTGAGCTCCAGGAACAAAAACATTAATTTGAATATAATCCTCAATATCCACAAAGGATTTTAATCCACTGTGTGGACCAAATGCTTTTGCAAGCCTACAAACTAGCACTGACATCATCACTGTGCTGTACCTAGTCTGTGAAGAAGGCAGAGATGTAGGAGGGGCCAAGCAGGCCCCACCCACTACAGGCTGCCTGCAGAAACATACAGGAGGAGGTGGAGACAAGACCAGACACTCTGCACAAGTAGGGCCATCTTAATGCATGGGCACACCTGGGCACTGTGCAGGGGCCCCAGGTGCACAGGGAACCCCATGATCAGGACAAGGGAGGGGTACCCGACACTGTGTTGGGGAGGCATACTTGCAATTTGGCCACTTGTGCTGCTATTCTTTGACAGGAGTATCTGCAATGTCACTTCTGTGAGGAGGAGCAGCAGCAGGCTTCTGCCGAAGAGGATTCAGCTTTCTTTTCCCTCCTTCAGGGGGTGGAAGTGAGCCCGCACTGAGACTGAGAACTCACCTCAGTCTCAGTGCAGGAGAGGAAGGAGAAGCTGCACTTGGCATAATGCAGTCAGGCAAGTACCATTCTCCTGGCAACGGCCAAACCCAGACACATCCATCAGATTGCCAGACAGAGAAGTGTGATTGGTCACTCCAGAGAACATGTTTCCACTACTCTAGAGTCCAGTGGTGGGGTGTTTTTACACCACTGCATCCAACACTTTGCATTGCACTTGGCGATGTAAGGCTTGGATGCAGCTGCTCTGCCATGGAAACCCATTCTATGAAGTTCTCTACACACTGTACTTGTGCTAATCTGAAGGCACCATAAAGTTTGGAGATCTTTAGCTATTGACTCTGCTATTGACAGTTAGTGACTTCTGCGCACTGTGCGCTTCTGCATCCCGACTCCGCTCTGTCATTTTACATGGCCTACCACTTCGTGGCTGAGTTGCTGTTGTTCCCAGTTTGTTATAATGCCACTAACAGTTGACTGTGGAAAATTAGTAGTAAGGAAATGTCACGGATGGACTTATTGCACAGGTGGCAACCTATCACGGTACCACACTTGAATTCACTGAGCTCCTGAGAGCGACCCATTCTTTCACAAATGTTTGTAGAAGCAGTCTGCATGCCTAGGTGCTTGATTTTATACACCTGTGGCCATGGAGGTGATTGGAACACCTGAATCCAATGATTTGGGGGGGCTGGCCCAATATGTATACAATATAGTGTATATGGACACTGATGGGGATGCCTGAAGGATGGGGGCGCTTTGATGAGGACACCTGAAGGAGGCTAGAAGGGGTCCCAGTGCATTGCATTGCTGTGGTACTATTAAGATGGCACTGTGCATAAGGAGGGAGAGTAGCAGCAGAAATACACAAAGCACACCAAAATTAAAGTATGAAAACATGTTCCTCTTGTATTTAGTCAATATTTGCTGATCCTGCAATTCAGCTTTAACACATACACACAGTCTTACAGATGTCAAACTAGTTAAACACATTTACAGCATCAAAGCTAGTCTTGTACATAATTGTTTACCAGGAATGGGACCTAAAACATTTTAATAGTATTTTTGCAAAATTGAAATATTCCAGGTTCATATTTTGCATATTTTTTCGAGCCAGCAGGACAAGCATAAGGTTTCTTTTCATGTATGCATCTGTATCTATTCAGAGTCTGTTGAAAAAAAGCATTTTGTTTATGGGGCCAGGCTCAGTAGCTCAGGCTGTGTGCAATGTACACACAGAAGGTAATCTCAAGCCAGTGGTGACTCATTCTTTATCAGAGGACTTAGTCTGACTCTTATTTAGGAAAATGAGCCACAAGACAGGTAGTTACTGCTGTGTTCTCTTTTTAGATAATTCATAGTGCTCTGGGAATCCTTTGATGTAGTAAATTACCTTTTACCAGGTTTTTTAAAACATTTCAAGAGCAGATTCCTGTTAAAAAAGTTTTATACTTCTCTCTGGTGGGTGGTGTGATGAACCTTCATTCTCCTGAAGATCTCTGTCGGATCTCTGCACCACTGGGTGCTATAGTTCTCCCCACAGAATCTTCCATTACAACAGGACAAAAATGTAGGTTTCAACACACCACCTACCAGAAAAGGAACATATAAGGTTTCTTTTTTCACAGGTGGGCTGCTCTTCTAAGTTTTTAAAGCTGGTGACAGGGTCACTTTAAAGTGACTTTTTAAAAAATATATATTTTTTTAAATATATTCTTCAGATTTTTTTTAACATATAAAAAAGTCATTTTTACATATATTTTTACATATATTTGTAAATGCATTCCAAAAATATTGAAATATATTGAACATGGCCAAAATTGTAGCATTTCAAATATATATCAATATATTTGGGAAGGATAATTTTAGAATATATTTAAAATATATTTTTCTTCCATCTGAGTGAGCTCAATCTTGATCCAGCACTGTGCCTGAGAGCAGCAACTCTCTCTCCTTTACTGGATGGAGAGATAGCAGCGGGAATCATGGGCTCCTGCTTAAATATATTCTAATTGCATTCCAAAAAAGTTTAGATTTGTATTTTAAAAGCATTCCAAAAATTTGAAATTGTATTTTAAAAAATATATTTCATAAATGTATGTTTTAAAAAATGCATTTCATATATGCAGGATTTGTATAATAAAATAATGCATTTAACATGCATATATATATATATATATATATATATATATACACACACATACATACACACATACAGTGGGGCAAAAAAGTATTTAGTCAGCCACCAATTGTGCAAGTTCTCCCAGTGTGTGCCAACTTGTGAAGACTTCCAGGAAACGTTTGACCTCTGTCATTGCTAACAAAGGATATATATAAGTATTGAGATGAACTTTTGATATTGACCAAATACTTATTTTCCACCATAATTTGCAAATAAATTCTTTCCAAATCAGCCAATGTGATTGCCTGGATTTTTTTTTTTCTCATTTTGTCTCTCATAGTTGAGGTCTACCTATGATGCCAATTACAAGCCTCTCTCATTTTTTTTAAGTGGGAGAACTTGCACAATTGGTGGCTGACTAAATACTTTTTTGCCCCACTGTGTGTATATATATATATATATTTATTTATTTGTATTGAGATATATTGAATATGGACAAAATTGTAGCATTTCTTCCATGTGAGTGAGCTCGATCTCGATCCAGCACTGTGCCTGAGAGCAGCAGCTCTCTCTCCTTTACTGGATAGGGAGGCAGCAGCGGGAGCCATGGGCTCCTGCTTCTGTCAAATCACAGCCAGTGAGCAGAGAGTGGGGGGGGGCGAGTTGCGCTACGTGTGTCAACAGACATACAGAGCACGTCTCAGCATTCAGCCTGTACAATTGCCTCCACAGCAAACGGCTTGCTATGGGGGCACTTGACAGGGGAGAGGAGCCCGGAGTGCCAGCAGGAACCAGAGAAGTGGAGGATCGGGGCTGCTATGTGCGAAATCATTGCAAGGTGCAGTTAAGTTGTTAAGAAAAATAGATTTACAATCACTTTAGCTAGCAGTGCACTCCCACACAAGAGCTACCATCTTGTCCACTTTTCTGCTATGCGCTCACACAGACGAGCATGCACAGATATCCTTTGCTAAAAATGCACACATACACATGCCTGTAAGGACATGACCATGCATACTAGCAGCAGGGTCATTTACAAATAATGATGCTCTCCAACTTACCAATATAAACAACAGAGGTCTTCATCGGGGATGAGCGCAGGCCTATTTGGACACAGGTTCACCTGAACTATCCTGCGGGGAAGCTGTCACAACGGACAGTCATTCATGGGCAGTGAAGGCATTCCCTGCCCAGCAACCGCATGTATGCAACGGATGTGTATATCGTGGCTGCGAGACAGGGAATGCCTCTGCCGCCTATGGTTAGCTGTCCATTTTGAAAGCTTCCTGGCAGCATAGCTCAGGCAAGTGTCCAAGCCTGAGCTCATTCCTAGTCTTCATGATGCAGTTTAGTTTGTTGAAAGAGCCAGAAAATACACATTTTACTATAGCTAGGAAGACCCTTAGGTATAAAAATTTGGTTGTCCTAAAATCCCCAACCCAAGGATATTTAAAAATAAAAAAAATACAAATTGCAAGTTCATATAATGGACAGGCAACTCATTGGTAAATTGACCTTATAATTAAGTCACAATGGGCCTGATGTCTGAAAGTAGAGATAGATCATTCATTGTGTTTTCTGCAGAGATTCCCCTAAATAACAATAATTTTTTTTTACCAAAATAACATTTAAACCAGCCTCTCTTAATCAGAGTTTTGTGGAATTCTAGGATTTCTCTGATTGTTAGGGGTTTCATGAGCAATCAGCAGTTTCTGCCTTTAAGATAAGGAATCACGGACATCAATATCTGTAATGGGGGCTCTTTCTTTCTTTTGATGAATAATGAAAGGAGCATTCTCCCCACTGTCCATCATGCTAATAATCTGAAAGTTATAAACATAGTACACAGTTTTTCCCTGATACCAGAAAGTGATTTCAAAAGTTCCTCTGTGTTAAAACGGTTGAGAAAGACTGATTTAAAGGTTTCATATAAAAATCCCAGTGGTCCTATTCTGTTGCTATCTGAATGAGCATCAAGGAGTATAGAAGTCAATGAATAGGCAGTTAACGGTCACAATAATGCAATGAAAATGAATGGCATTAATTCTTCAACCCGTAGGAATATTTCTTCCATTCGTGTACACAATTTATTGAGAAAGGCAGCATTTAGCGTCAAATTGCTTAAGTTGCTATATATGTACTGGTAATCATTACAGGAATACTTTGTTTTGTAATGGATGATGTAACTTCTTCATATATATGGTCACATTGCCTTAAAGTATGCAATTTGTACCACCCACATCCAAATTCAATCTGCTCTGTCTGGTTAAAATCTACCGTTATCATTTAATGCAGTATGCATTGCATACAAAATGAAGATTGCAAAATAGATCAGATTTTTAACAAATGCATCATCTCTATTTCTTAAACAATTACATTCACTTGAGTTTATTTAGAAAAATAGAATATCCCAGATTGTTTTTTTTAAATGTGTCATTCCTCATCTGTTGCTCTTGTCTAGAAATATCATAAAATTAGTATAGCATCGTACAATATCAAAATTAAATGAAAATAAAAAATAAAACCATAGTTTACTTACCCTTAAAGCTCTTCACCACAGATGCCATTGAGATCTCCAACAAACTTTCCCAAATCCATTGCATTAGATATATATTGCCAATTGTCTGCGTAAATGTTGCCTAAATTCAGGCTTACCTATTACACACTGTGAGAGCTGCTCCCTATTTGGGGAATTTGGCAACACATAGCCCCAAACTCTCAGGCTCTCGCATTTTAAAGCATTGCTTTAAATTGGGCCCGTCACTCAGAATTACCATTTACAAGTTCAGTCCTAATTAATGAGAGCCTAGGGAAAGCCATTCTCAATAGACTGTCATTTTAAGGAGAAGCAAGACACTCCACCTCCTGTTCCATACACAGCCCACGTTAATTAGACAGCTTCCACATCCCTTGCTAGGGTAGCTGATCTCTTCATGAGGACAACGTGGGAGGGGGGTACATTTTTAGTAGTTCACCCTGCACATCGACTTGCCTGTTACTCACATTTTACCAATACAACCTTGGTTGCTAATACGGTACAAGATTTGGTTTTGTACTAACTGCTAAAAAAAAAATAGAGCACACCGCTATGGTAGCATTAGGCAGCCTTGATGACTATACCGTTCAACAACAATCCAGCATCACCGAAAGAGTTTTATCTGTTGGATAAGTGAAAAAAAATACCTATGGAACCTTTAATAAATCTTGTGTTCTAATAAATTTCTGCACTGTCTGACTCTGCTGACTGATGTCAGTTAGCATTGTTCCCAGCTATCTTTGAGGACTACAGAACACCTCTCCACATGTTATGGAAAAGAGACAAGGAGCAGATATTTTGTAGTCCTGTCCTAGAGTAACAAAGCAGCACCTCCATGGATACAGTATAGTAAGTGAGCAATATTACCCCAGAAAATAAAGTGTTAATGGCAGGTGTCAAGAACATACACCCATCATGACTCACTA